TTTGAGTGAATTTGCAAAGGTGAACTAGATTATTCTTTCACTAACACTCATTTTTTACCTGAAACTACATTGTTTCAAATGCTCCCCACTGTAGAATTCTAAAGCAGGGGTTTAAAGACAAGACTGAAACAATCTATAGTAGACTGTTTCTTAATTATTGATTTAGCAGCATTTGACTGTAAATAACTCATAGAACACTTGTCCATGTTCTTTTTCATAATCGACACTTTCCTTATAAAAGCAATTTCTTTTTATGTCTGATCTCATGCTTTCCAATCCATGTGTTTTAGGTTTAATAGTTATAGTCTGAGCCATTTCCTGTTTTTCTGCTGTTATGCTGCCAGGAGTAGAAACTGACTGGTCAGCCATTTTTAAAGACCTTACAAGTAATACAGTACTGTTAATTGTGAACAGAATTTCTAATGATTGTTTTGTCTTTCAATTTTGAAGTGTTGCTTAAAATGGGATTCACTAGAAATGCAAACTAATAATCTGAAAATTAGAATAAAATAGATGAGAACAAAGAAGCCTGATTTTTGTTTAAAGTGTTCTTTTAACCTCTGAATGCCTAATTCTTTGTTAGTATTATTAAACTTCAGACTTTTTATTTGTCTGGCAGCCTCAAGTTCAAAAGTGTTTGTTATGATGAATGTGCAGAATTTGTAGCTTGCTCTTTCCTTTATGTAGTAATCACACCTGGTGTTAATAGTAGACTACAGTAGTTGAGAACATGACCATCTTCCACCTATTTTTTTCTATGCACAGAAAAAGTAAGAATGTACTTTTACAGCAGTAACCTGTGTCACATAATAATTGAGCTACATTATTATTAATAAATTAGCAATTTAACAAGAACTAACAAATGAGCAATACAAAAAAGCACAAATAAAAACAAAGCATTATTTAAACAAGCCAAAACAATAATATAATGCTATACAAGCCAGTGAAAGAGGTTGTACATGAAAGTTCACCACAGGTCTTCAAATAAGTTGGATAATCATCTCTCAGAGATGCTTAGTGTCATATTCTCCAAGCATGGGGATAGATTAGATAGCCTCTAAAGAACATTCTAATTCTATAATTCTGTAAGACTAATATTAAAATCAAAGACAGAATCAAGTTAGTAGGAATAGAGCAGCCCTGACTTCCTTCACAAGAGAATTTCATAAATGAAAGACTTGATTCATTCTTCTTTTTTTTTAAAAAAAATCTTGCTTTATAATAGCTGGCTGTTGAGTGTTTCTTAAATTGCAATTTAATAATTTAAGATTTTCTTTTAAATTAATATCTAGACAGAAGAGCTTGCAAAGCTTTCTAAACTTTGTATGTATTGTAATTTAAGAGTATTCTAATATCAAATAATCTCAGTTCATGTTAGCCAAAGGATTATCACATACTACTGAAAAATGCTTAGCCTGAGAACTGTGTTTCTTTGATCTATACTGCACAAATGGGGTTTAGCTAGTCATAGAATTCAATTGCATATGATGTTTTCAAGCTGTTTACATAGGTACTCTTTTGTGAGCGGATATATAAACTCTTCAGTTGAATTACTCAAAGGATTTTCCAATCATTTAAAAGAACCTGGGGTATATAAAAACTTGTAAATATTCAGACGGTTGCACATAATATAATTGTTTTGGATTTTTAAGAGAAGGGATACCACCATTTTAAATCTTTAAATCACTTTAGCAAATATACTGAAGTAGAACACTATAAAAAAGAATCAGGTTAGTTGCATTCTGTAAATCGGCACCTCCTGGCTGCAATTCAAAACATGTCCTCACGGGTTAAGTTTGGAAATAAATTTGGATGATTTGGCAGGCGAGGAGGAAATTCTGTTGTATTTGCACGGCATTTGATTTATCCACCAATTTTAAAGATAAACTTTTATTTTAAGGATTATCTGTATTATCTGTTTGAACTCAACAAATAGAAGCATAATATCCAATTACGTGATGTCCCAAAAAAAAAAAGAAGGAAAAAAGTGATAAAGTACAAGTAGTCCTCGACTTACAACAGTTTGCTTAGTGACTGTTCGAAGTTACAATGGCACTGAAAAAATCCCCCCCCCAAGCCACAGCCGAGCAAGACAACTGCCTGCCCACCTGGCGGTGCTCTTCCTCCTGTCTGAGGTTTTCATTGTTGTGAGCATTTCTGTTGAGGATTGGCAGCGGGGGTGGGGTGGGGTGTGTTTGGTTTTTATTCCCCCCTGTCTGCTGGGTGGTTGCAGCAGGTTTTGGTCACTTCACATGACCCTGGGACACTGTGACCGTCATAAATATGAATCAGTTGCCAAGAATCTGAATGTAAATCACAAGACCCTGGAGATGCTGCAACATTCCAGCTGATCGGCACTTCTTCTGGGCTCAGCAGAAGCGCCAGGATCAGTGCTGAGCTCTAGCTGATTGGTGCTTCTTCAGGGCTCAGCCAGAAGCACCAGGATCAGCGCTGAGGTCCACCTGGAGCCTGGCACTGATCCTGGCGCTTCCACTGAGCCCTGACAGTCCTGAAGAAGCGCCGATCAGCTGGAATGCGGCACTGGTCCTGGCGTTTCCGCTGAGCCCTGACAGCCCTGCAGCTCCAGCCATCTCTCGCTCAGGCTTGTGCGGTGCTGACACCAGTTCAGCTCATTCCCCTCCCTCGCTACCACTTTTCTAGGATGGTTGTGTACCACCTGCCAGGTGCCAATGTACCACAGGTGGTACCCGTACCACTGGTTGAAAAGCCCTGCTTTAGCTGTAGAATAGAAGTAAACATGTTTGGTTTTGGCCTAATCTAATGTATTAACTGAATTGTTGTGATTTCTAAAGCTATTATCACTTAGTAATTGTTACAAATCATGGCTTGTGCTGCATTGAATTTGAACAGGAACAGATTCTTCTTAAAATTACACTTTGGCTGTTAAAAATCAGAATAATTGTATCATCCCATTTCTATCGAAGCCTTTCTGATTTTGTTTCAGGGATTCTAAAATGCTGCATGTTAAGATATTAGTCATTAAATGTCAACATTAAATGTATTGTGTATGAAGGGATCTTTTAAAATGCAACTTTAAAGGGGTGTGTGTGCAATTTATTCCTGAAAATATAACAAGCCTCATGGCTTACAGGCTTAAAATAAGTGACCTATAGCTTTTCTGTAGTCGTGGACATGCTCTCGCATGTTGAATCTGGTTCCTTAATTAGTTTGTTCCTGCACAAAATAGGATTTATATATTATTGCTTTTGTAATTTCTTGGCTATAGTATAACTTAGGAAGGATGTAATATGGTAGTCTCCTCCGTTTACTTATGAATTTCAATTACTACTACTGTAACAAATGAACTATTTGGAAGTTTGACTTCTTTAAGTAATCTTTTGTATCCCAAGGTAGGGAAACATTTTCTGTTATTTTTAGGTGTAAGAAGTAAAGATTAATTACTGTTTTAGATTAGAAGCATGTTGTGTCTTTCTTAGAATTTCTAAATTACCTTCCTTCCTCCATAGATAGGGAATTAAGCTAAACATTTGTTCTTCACAAATTCATAGCTGTACATTTATGTGGTTTTGTTTTGGAAGGAGTAATAGAAGAAATCAGTAGTTTATATTTTTTTTTCACTGTATGATAGATATTTTAGATGGTGCTATTAAATTTATTTCTTCTACATCTCTTTTTCCTTATAATGATAGCTTTGACCTGAAAAGCCATAAGCCCGAAACTCAATATGTACATATTACTTTGTGTAAGTTTGTGGAAAATCTTTCAAGAAAGCAACACCTAAAACTCTTTTACTGTCAAAAAATCTCAAATAATGCAGGGCACAATTTCTGGAATTTTTTCCATCCTCTTTATCAAATACATCTGTATTTTATTCTGTCTCCGTGTTTGTTTCTGGTTTCCTTTTGCATGACATTTAAGTGTTTGCTAATATGTGGGTACTGGTAAATGAAAGATAGGCTACATGTCGCTCTGCTTTTGTCCAAGTGAAGGGTTAGGCAGGTTGTAGAGGGGTTAGATTGAAACAGCTGCTAGGCTTCTGAGCCATTGCTCAACTGCCTGTCACATAATAACACATTAGGAGATATTTTTTTTCCAAATCTTCATTTTCTGGCTTGCACCAAGCTTGCTCCCATTCTGTTCAGTTTTGGAGAGAAAGCTGTGGCAACCCACTTTCATACTGTTACCAAGAATACTGCATTGGTGCTGTATTGAAATCTTGAAGATGTCTTTAACTTTAGGCATATCACCAACACACTAGATCAGCGGTTCTCAACCTATGGGTCGCGACCCCATTTGGGGTCAATCGACCATTTCACGGGGGTCGCCAAGCAAGGCTGTCCGCCATTTTTTTCCCCTTTTCCGGCGGGTGCCTTACCTCCCTTGGGCTGGGCCAGCTGGTGGTCGGCCTGCTCCGTCTCTGCCGCTTGCCAGCTACGCCTCGGCCGGCACAGGGGGCAGAACCACGCATGCGCGACGATCCCGGGCAGGGAAAGTCCTCGACTTACGACTGTTTTGGTAGTCCTCGACTTACAACCGGTTTAGTGCTCGACTTACGACCGGTTGGGGGTCGCGGCATTAAAAAGGTTGAGAACCACTGCACTAGATATTATTTTTTTATTTTAATTAATGCTGGAAATATTTCCCATTTGTAAAGTTTAAGAAATGTCTCTCTGGGTTTTTTCTTCCTCTGATAGCATCAATTTTAGGATTGGCAATTCACTGGTTAAAAATCCTGAAAAGTGAGAGCAACCTTTTCTCACAAAATAGAACAGTACCTATATATATTGCCCCAAGACTATAGGTTTTCTTTTTTAAAATGACAACTGGGAATCCAGAAATTTCCTTTACTTGCTCTCTTGCTAATTGACCGAAATGCAGCAGGTGGATGAAGCAAACAAGATGGAGTGGAAGATTAGGTCATTGTAAAATGAATAAGCAGACTAATACCAGTCCTTTGCAAATAATGGATCTGAATGAATGGGGTGTCATTTTTATGTATCTCTTCCATCTTTTTCAGAATTGCTGAGGAGCATTTTGAGGTGGAGTACATATTGTGAAGAATTTGCTGAATGAACAAGATCTGACCATGCGTAACAAGACTTAAGCCGCCTTTCCTTCTGTGACTTAAATATGCTGCTTTTCAATAGTGCTTTTGTCTTTACAATGGTCATAGCTGCATGTATTCTTTGATCCGTTTCTGATGAATATTATAGCCATGAGTTTACATCGGCAAATGGGATCTGATAGGGACCTGCAATCTACTGCCTCCTCTGTAAGCTTGCCTTCAATTAAAAAGGCACCAAAGAAAAGAAGAATTTCACTGGGATCTCTTTTTCGAAGGAAAAGGGATACGAAACACAAAGCCAAGGATGTAAATGGCGGCGTTGATGGAATTGCAAGTATTGAAACTATACACTCAGAAATATGCCCAGACAAGAACTCTATTTTATCTGCCTATATGTCATCAGACAATGGAACTGCGATCTGTAGTAAGCAGACGGGAGACTTCATAGAATGTCCCTTGTGCCTTTTGCGGCACTCTAAGGAGAGGTTTCCGGAAATAATGACTTGTCACCATAGATCTTGTGTGGATTGCTTACGTCAGTATCTCCGGATAGAAATCTCAGAGAGCAGAGTTAATATCAGCTGTCCAGAATGCTCTGAGCGATTTAATCCCCATGACATTCGATTAATTTTAAATGATGACATCTTGATGGAAAAATATGAAGAGTTCATGCTTAGACGGTGGCTTGTTGCAGACCCTGATTGTAGGTGGTGTCCTGCTCCAGACTGTGGGTAAGTGATGTGTTTTTGTATCCATAGCTCTGTTTTTATCTTTTCTTGATTATTAAATTGCTTGTATATAATGTCTTGTTTACCAGTGTGTTTTTATTTTTTTATTTCAGGTTTTTCTTTCTTTCTTTTGACATTCAAAAATAGTTTGCTGTTACTTTAATAGCAGAAAAATTAGAGAATTGAGAAACAGATTCCTATCTTCTCCTATCTTCTCAAATGCTAGTGCTTCACGCTCCAGAATATTAAAGGGGGTTGTCAAGTTTTAATGCAATCTCCAAAGTAGGTAGCTTTTGACACAGATTGTTAATTTGCTGCATTCTGGAAGAAGGTCTTTCTACATTAAGCACATAAAAATGGGATTTGCCTCTCCTGTACTTCATATACTGAGTAGGTGGCCCCACTCTTCTGTACCAACCCACCTTCTCATCCGTGTGGAATTCTAGCTTACCTTTAGTGCTTAAACATTTTTAACTTCACATTTTTTTATTTTTATGTAGTAAATTTAAAGTTTTTTAAATATAAATTGTGAAAGTTGGCATAATTGTAATTGGCAACAAAAATTTTCATATTAAAAGAGCCAACTGTTCTGAGTAAAAGGTAAGAGATCATAATCTGATTTTTGCTTAATGTCGGAGGAATTTATTTAAATATTAAACATATTATTACATATTGTTGCAACTCTTTTTGGTCTTAATTATATAATTTACCACTTAAGAGGGTTTTTTTTTAAAAGAAAATGTTTATCTTCACCAAGTTCAAATATACTATTTAGGTTTTAATCTACACATTGCATTTTTATTAAGAAATTTGTTAATCTAACCTATGTTAAAAGCACATGTAAAGTCCAGAAGTGCCATATGATCAAAGATAAGTGTAGCTGAATATGGAAATAAAATTCTTGAAGCTGTGTGAAGAAGTATATAAAATGTGGAGTACATTGATAACTGGGAAGATTAGGATTTTTAAATACTAAATGACAAAGAATACATTTTGAGATTGAATAGACAAATTACATTCATATCCATGCTGCCTATATTTTGTATACCACGTTTCTCTTCCGATATGATTATATTGCACAGAACTGCAATTATGTGCTTTTATCATTTGTGTACTGTTCTAATACCACATGTGAATTTATTCATAAAATTTCATTCACATGCACACAATTATAAGAGAACTTGTTAATTTGTTCCAAAGTATTGTGGTTCCTTAATACTTTATTTTGATATAACATTTAAGGCAAAATCTTACTACTGTAGATAAAATATAATTGGTATCTAACACATTTCAGATAAAGAAATTTATAAATCATAATGCATGTAGGCTTGTTAGTATGTTGTACTATATAATATTTTCACAGAACATTTAATTAAAGTTCAACCAAGTACGCCTGTATGAGAAAGACAGCAAATTTCTTTCCGAATGCTCGGTTTTTTATTTTATTTAGCATATGGCATCTACAGAGGTCATGCGATCATTAATATACAAACATACTGGATTGTCAGTGACAAGGCTGAAGTTGATTGCAGACAGTCCTTGATTTATAACCGGATTTATAACTGCAATTTGAATCCATTGATAACAATCCATAAAACATGACCACATTGCTTAGCGATGACCTTTCCTGAAGTCCTGGTTACAAACACTGAATCCCCTGGTTATTAGGTGAGGCAACTTCCAGCCAGCTTCCCACAAAATTAGTGAGTCCCGGGCCCACAAGTGAATAAATGGCTGCTGCTGAGTGGGGAAGGAAGGTGTGCAAGGTGAGAGGAAGGGTCAGGGTGGATATGATTGGGGTGCACAAAAGCTATGGCATGAATTGGTAAAGATGTGAGATATGCAAGAGCCGTGAGTCAAGGAGGATGTAAGTGGGTGAATGAGAGGCACCACATGAGTTGGAGAAGGTGCATGTTTGTGTGAGAGGGTATGCAAGAGGCATGCATTGGTGAGGGTACGTGAGGGGTGCCACGTGAGTTGGTGCAGGTGTGAGGGGTATGCAAGAGGTGCTGTGCAGGCCAGAGTGGGTGCAAGGAAGGTGCAGTGAACGCCAGGGAGGTGTATGAAGGTGTGCTTGGCTAGGACAAGCAGAAGGGCTATGAGAAGGTATGTGGATGAGGAAGATTATCCCGGCGACCTGCGACCTTACCCGCAGGGAAAGTTGCAGATTGCAATCATATGATTACAAGGCCCTTGTCAACTGGTCATAAGTACAAACAGGTTATCAAGCATCCAGATTGCAATCATGTGACTGGGAGGGTGTTTGGGGGATTGAAACTCCAAGGACTGATCTTAGCCACCATTCATTGAGCCCTTGCATTTTGGAATGGTGCTGACCATGGGTGTGTGTGGTGTGTAATTTCAAGAACAGGTCGTAAATGAGTTTTTATGAGCCCATCATTAAGTGAGGACTATCTGTATTTCAATTTATTTTATTTGAAACAATAGAGTTGGATTCAATCAATCTTGCAGAATAGCACAGTGATGCCTGTTACTTGAAGTTTGCTGAATTCTACTATAGGATCTAAACCTAAAATATACCGTATAAGATTAACTAGAGCTCTATAAATGTTATTGTGTTTCTACTTTTATAAAGGATGATGTTTCTTAATATCAACTCAGCTATTTTAATTGGCAATATGTAGAACTGAGAAAGTCACAGCATATGACAATATCTGGTTCACCTTGGCTGTTTTCAGAAGAGTTAAGAAGAAAAATACTAGTTAACAATAATGATAAGAGACTACAAAGAAATTCCAGGCTTAGAGAAGACTAGGCATTTGGGGAAATCTTAGAAGAAGGCAGTTCCTGACTATTTCTACATTGTTGCCAAGAAAACATGGATCTATCCACATAATTGCCAGACGTCTAGAATAACTTGAGGGAGGCTTTATCTTAGCACAGAGAATAAATACTCTTCCATCTATTTTTGAATATTTAAGGTATGCAGTCATTGCTTTTGGCTGTGCAAGCTGTCCTAAACTTATGTGTGGGCGTGAAGGCTGTGGAACTGAATTTTGCTACCACTGTAAGCAGATTTGGCATCCTAACCAGACTTGTGATGCTGCTCGTCAGGAAAGAGCACAAAGTCTACGTTTGCGAACCATTCGTTCTTCATCCATTAGCTATAGTCAGGAGTCTGGAGCTGCAGGTATTTATTGTTTCAATCTAAACGTTAGAAATATTTTTGTATTATATCTTGAGTTGCTAGATCAGTGATGGCGAACCTTTTAGAGACTGAGTGCACAAACTGCAACCCAAAACCCACTTATGCATCGTTGAGTGCCGGGTGGATGTGGCCCATTGGCTGGGTGTGGCCAATTGGGTGGGTGTGGCTGCAGTGGTAACGACAGACTGGGTGGGACTAAAAAGTTCAATCAATTCCAACTTTGCAAGACCTTTTTTTTTCCCCGCGAGAAGTTGAAATTGACTGATTGAACCTTTTTTTTTTTTTTTTGCACACGGCGGCGGAGGCCTAAAGTGAAAAGGTTTTATAAAACCCAGTTGAAGGCCTAGGACCGGGGCGGACGGCGCGCGTGCCCACAGAGAGGGCTCTGAGTGCCGCCTCTGGCACCCGTGCCATAGGTTCGCCACCACTGTGCTAGATTATTCAACAGTTACTGACACTGAAAAAAGGAAGATGTGAATCTTTTCTTCAGCATCTTGATATTAATGCAAAATTGTACAGTTATGTAGAATGTACTGAAATAATGTGCTGCTAGTATTTGGCATGCTGGATATAATTAGCGTATGCAATCAGTGAAAAGATCTGACTACTGATAGAACTCCTGGTTTGAAATGTCTAGTAACAGACCACACACTGGCTGATTTCAGATGCTAGGATAAAACATGTGGTTTGCTTAGTTTTGGCTTATCGTGTTGCATAGATCCAGCATGAAGGTTTATAAAACATACTTTCTGATTCAGAACAAGATTGCAAAGTTTATGTTGGCTCCCAGGCACCCCTAAAGTATTGCCCAGCATATTAGTAATCATATTCAGAAGGTGAGGCAAGACGAAGATTCTACTTGAGGGAAAGTTTTAAGCCTTAAAATGTGTGGCTAAAATATATCTGGAAGGCTTAAGGCATTGGCTTTGTCCATTAAACTCTGCCAGAAGCTGGAAAAAAAACCACTTTATAGTGGAGGGATATGAATATCAGGCCTTTTTTTTTTTTTTTTTTGCACTCTTCATTTATTATGTGAATCTAAAAAATTATGGTTTCTTAATGTCCAAACTTAAGTTTCATTATAGGGGGAGTGAGTTGTTTAAACTATAAGAATAAGAAGGAATTTGAAGAGATAGAGCCTATTATAGCTGAGATAAGAAACCACTGACATGCAGACTTCTAATCTGGTCCCTTGATCTGTTTATACTCCCACTTAGAACATGAAAAGAGCGAGCAGTTACTTTGTATATAACTCAGCAGAAGTTCTCTATGAAGAAAAGGAAATAAGCCATTAAGAGACTCTTTTGCCTATGAATGAGTACTCTGAAAGATGGGAAATAACCTGAACTGAAAAGAATGCTCTCCTTTCTAAAATCGCTATTGATTGATGTTATCTGGCTTGATTGAAATAGAAGGAGAAGCATTTTTTACTGTTTTTAAAGAGGTTTTTTTAATGCTTGCACTATCACCTTTGCAAATTGTGCTGTATTACCTATCACAGTATGCATTTTATGCTTTTACGTTGGATACCGAAAAATCTCATCAGAATAGTTTTGGATTAAATGATTGAGTATTATTTTAAAGCAGAATAATTTGTAAAGTTCTGTGTAATGTTTACATTTGTTTTATTTACGTACCACTTAATTACCTCTTTGTATTGGGTCTTTCTTGGCTTTGTTGGATCTCTAGGATGAGATATATTTTCAATTTTTATTTTTCTTGGGAGTAATAGTGCTATCGTGTTTCTTTATTTTAAACAGCTGATGACATAAAGCCATGCCCCCGCTGTGCTGCTTATATAATAAAGATGAATGATGGAAGTTGCAATCACATGACCTGTGCTGTCTGTGGTTGTGAATTCTGTTGGTTATGCATGAAGGAGATCTCAGACTTGCATTACTTAAGGTATGTATGAGAAAGAATTTTTTTTCTGGTAACCGAAGTTTAACATGGTTTTTATTCCAATTTGTAATAGAAGCTATGCTAGGCTAATTCAAAACTGCTATTTTTCTGAAGTTAGATAAAACATTTATTTAGAAAACTTTTATGGCTGCCCATTTAATACATAACTCTAGCTAACAACATAACTCCAGCTAACAACCAGTTTATAGCTTCTCTCCCATAGCAACTCTAATACCAAAGTTAAAATAATTCAGTACAAAAAATAATAATAAAAACAACATATTTATTTAAAATATTTGTACAGTTGTCCCTTTTATATCAGACTGACAGAAAGATATATGTATATTGGGTTCTTCTAATATCCTCTCCCTAATGCCTGGAGGGAAAGCCAGGTTTTAGCAGCTTGCTGGAAGGTGCAAAAGGGCAAGGCCTCTGAATCTCTTAATCTGTTTTGCGTAGGCATTTAGTAAAATGAAGTATGGTGGTTTTGAGGATTTTGTGTGTATTAAACTGCTGCATAGTATGGTGAGCAAATGCAGAAAGGCCCATCTATTTATAGCAGAACATACGCAAATAACTTCCTGTAGGAGAATACTGTATGTCGCAATACTTTCCCTTCAAATTCCTGTTCTGCATGTTCAGAGAAATCTTTTGCAAATTAGTCATTCTTCTTGTTAACAGACTATGGCAATGTTGAGATCATGGGGTAGAGCTAGTTTGGTCTAATGCAGCGGTTCTCAACCTATGGGTCGCGACCCCATTTGGGGTCGATCGACCATTTCACGGGGGTCGCCAAGCAAGGCTGTCCGCCATTTTTTCCCCCTTTTCCGGCGGGTGCCTTACCTCCCTTGAGCTGGGCCAGCTGGTGGTCGGCCTGCTCCGTCACTGCCGCTTGCCAGCTACGCCTCAGCCGGCGCAGGGGGCGGAACCACGCATGCACGGTGCTCCCGGGCAGGGAAAGTCCTTGACTTACGACCGGTTGGATAGTCCTCGACTTACGACCGGTTTAGTCCTCGACTTACGACTGGTTTAGTCCTCGACTTACGACCGGTTGGGGTCGCGGCATTAAAAAGGTTGAGAACCACTGGTTTAATGGTTGGGGCAGTGGGCTAGAAATTGTGAGGATATGATCTCTATTTCTATCTTAGGCACAAAGCCAGCGGGATGACCTTGAGCCAGTCATTCATTCTCAGCCCTAAGAAGAAGGCAATGGCAAACCACTTCCAGAAATTGTACCTAAAAAACTGCAAGAACTAGTCTACGCAGTTGCCAGGAGTAAAGACTGACTCGGGGCCACTCTCCCCACTCTACCTCATCCCCCAAGAAGCAGTATTAGAAATTTTGAGGATTAGTTGAGAACATGCCACTTGTTTATTGGTTAAATTTTAGACAAATCAAATCTCAACTAGCTATCCAGATTTAAAGAGATTTTTGTTTAATTTAGATTGCAAACCAGCCTGCCTAATATTGGGTGAGAGTTTTGGAAATGGCAATCCCTGTGTCTTTGGGCACCAGATAAAGGAAGGCTGATGTGACTAAGAAATGTACCTTTGGGCTGAATTTTGGAAATGGTGTAGCTGACAAAAAGATATGATTTGATGTCCCTATTTTAAAATGCTGTTGGCTGAGAACTTACATATCAAGACGATATTGGATATTCATATGTTAGCATATGGGTTAGTAATAGTCTAAGTTAAAGGATTTGATTACGTATGATTGTTCACTGGTTAATCTTATATATGGAAAATTCTCAGTCCATCAGGCTGTACATTCTGGGGGAAAAAACCATGGAGTCGGAAGAAGAAAATTCTTTGGCAACTTGGGACACTTGTAGGTGCACCTGTGGGAATTGCCTTAATAGCAGGCATTGCTATTCCAGCAATGATTATTGGAATTCCTGTATATGTGGGACGTAAGGTAAGAACCGAATTGATTTTGAAATTTGCATATTTTTCAATGGGACTTCCTTGTTATTCCACTATAACAAACTCTGTTTATTAAAGTATTTTTTCAAATCAGTTCTTACTTGTTCTTTTTCTTCTTTTTAAATATATTTTTCCTCTGGAGTATCAACCTGCTGAGGTTATAGCAGCGTTGAAGTAATACAAGGATGAGAGTTATTAACAATACTAGCCAATTATTCTATAGCTGCCGGTTCAATTTCCAAGTGCAATTGAACATTCTGATTTTGACTTTTGAAAACAAAAAATGGTGATACAGTGTTTTATTTTAAAAATCACATTCGTCCATTTATTTTTCACTGTCATCATAGCCAGATGAAATTTTATTGAGGCTTCCAACATTATCTGAAATATGAATGGTATTTATCATTGATGAATTATTGTCCGGTGGTGGTTCCAAACCTTGCTATTTCTTATCTAGGGAGGCTTATCATAACATCTCATTGTCATGCATTTTTTAAAATTTTAATGTGATTCACATTATGACTGTTCTGTGACATAACTTTATAGCTTCGCATTTAAAAAAAGATAAAATTTATTTCAGCTAAAACTGCAGAAGTCTTAAAATTGCAAGTTTGTCAATTTTCATGGAAGACCCAGCGACTTCATTAACTACCAATACAAAATGATTCCCATAAAGTTTTCTCTGGTCACAAAATGTTTTTAATCAGGGTCTTCCTAGTCCTCTTCCTTTTCCCACAAAGAAAAGCGATTTCCCAAGAAATTAGTGACAAAGATGGTATTTGAGCCCAGATACCAACCATACATTTGAACATGCACGGCATACTATTTCATAACTATAATCAAAGACCATTTACATCTGTGAATTCAAGTTTCTGTCTTGGGACAGGAATCTAAATTAAAGGAATTTACCATCCATTTCTAACCAGAGATTCTAGTATTGTTGGGAAACTGTCAGCAGGCAAAGAGAAGAGATTAAGTGGAGAACTAGCCTTGGGTCAAGAAACCTAGAGAGAAGAGTACAACCAAACATTGAAAAGGAAGATAGCAGAGGAAAGGTTTAAACAGGAAAGAAAAAGAAATCCAAAACAGATTTTGTTTACATTGCTTTGTTTACTCATCCTGTTTAATTATACCAATGGGATCTTTAAATTCATTAATTTAAAATGGCAAGTAAATAGATAAAGATAATATTGATCGCTCCTGTATATCATTTCTTCTACCAGCTATTAAATGGAATTTGTTCTAAAATATCTTCATTTTTCCTCTTTCTCATAAAGATTCATAATCGCTACGAAGGCAAAGACATGTCAAAGCATAAGAGGAACTTAGCCATTGCAGGTGGTGTAACCTTATCTGTAATTGTTTCACCAGTTGTAGCTGCAGTCACTGTGGGTAAGTATAGTTTCTGAAAAATCTAGCAATAGCAATAGCACTTATATACCGCTTAACAGTGCTTCACAGCCCTTTCTAAGTGGTTTACAGAGTCAGCGTATTGCCCCCAACAATCTGGGTCCTCATTTTACTAACCTCGGAAGGATGGAAGGCTGAGTCAACCTTGAGC